GAGACTGGATTTGCAACATGCACGGGATTTTGAAACCCCATGATTGTGCTGGTTGTTCAAGGGCGATCACAATGTCTGGGTGAAAGGAGAGCGTCAAGCGCAAAGCTTCAGCCTTGTACACAAGCAGAAAGATTCACAATCCATGAAAAATACATTAAAAACATAGTATATATCTGTTCCATCTCACGCAAAATACCAATCCCGTCTTCGTGATTCTTCAATATTCTTCATGTGATTTCATGTGTATATACAGTAATCCAATGTAATCCAAGGGCTGCTTGCAACTCATCCGAGGAACAAAGTTCACCCAAATGCGATTGGCCAAGCGCACAGAAAAGTACGCTTCATCGCCCATCAGCCTGTCAATGCTCCTCTTGTGGACGGATGCGCTTGCTCCAACAAACAGACTGCATGGTGGAGCTCCAAAGCAGAGTCCGCCAGGAGCCAACCTGGACCAAGGAACAGATCACTGGGAAGATATTGCAATGATCAACAAATGCAACCAACATATACCAAAACATTCAAACAAATTCAAGAATATCTACAGCGGAAAGTGATTCTATAGCGTGTCTTGCAGTCTTGCAGTTTGATGCATTGTCATTCTATAGGCTGTCACCCCCCCCCAACGAGGTTTATAGGCTATAAAATGGTGGACATGGGATTGACCTCCAATTTAAGAATTACCAATACATTCCAGGAGAGATGCGAGAAAAGCATATCCAGCAAACAATAAAAGCCACGTCGAGAGGTAAGGTCGTGAGCACTGCTGAGTTTCACATCGTAGGCGACGCTTGCGTATCCTGCTCTGCTCCATGCTTTCCTGGTGGCTTGGGAAAATGAAATCTTTTGCTTGACACCCCGCGCGGGCACCGTGAGAATAGCTAAGAAAACAAACTGAGATAAGATGAGTCTCTTCAAGCCTTGTGAGGCCGAAAAAACATCGACCAGGTGCAAATTTCGCTGGCCAATCCATGCCCTGGCCCAGGACCGTGTCTCTCTTTTGAAAAGTTCTGCTGGAAACCACCTGATGTCCAAGTGAAAGGAAAAGAAGCGATCGATAGCGAACATATCATAAAGATTCATAAAGTATATTCACACTATCCCAAAAACATGATTCTATACATATACATATGGGTCAACGTTCATGTTTTGCATTGTATAGTGAAGTACACATCTGCAATCTAGAGACATCTCTTCACCAATCGTGCAGGTCGTATCTGCAGATATTGGCGGCAAAGGGCCCTCCATTATAGTCATCAAGAAGCTGCACATCCAGGCAAATGTCCAAAAAGGATGCATTGCCCAAGGTCCCTGATTAACCCTCATTCTTTGGGACAACTGCACACGCAACTTGAGAAACACTAAATGTGCTGCGGATTTGGTACTTGAATCCTGTCATAGTGACACAATACTGTTCTATAAAATGCTTTTTCCCAATGCACCCAGGGTGTGTTCCCTATAAAGTCATTATCTCGGTTTTTTTATCATAGCACAGGCTTCCCGTGCCAACTATCTCCTGGTCGTTGACAAGAGATAGCAGGAATCTGTGGGGATGACCAACACTATATAATCACTAATCACATGTTCGGCACATTGGCACCCATTTAACATGACGAGCGATGCTTATTTCAAGCTCGCGTCACACGGTGCAGTGCTGGCATGGACCAAGATTGCGCACCTTTGGCCTGTTCCGGAGGTGCTGACAGTGGCGATTGACATGGTACCTGTCTCCATGCTGAGCCACACAAACCTCCATCACTGGATTATGCTTTGCACTACTCTCGAGTTCTTGCACCCTTGCTTCTAGAAGCAGAATCTTGTCCAGCAGCTCCTGCTTTTCTTCGGACAGCTGAGCATTCTCTTCCATGAGCGTCTTCAAAGACAACGAGCTTCGGCGATGTGGCTGAAAGGATTCTTTCTTCGACACACTGGAGTCCCCGGAGCTGTACGTCCATTTCGTTGCTATCAGATGCAAACATGTTGACAAAAAAGCTCCACCCAGAAAAATAATGATCACCAAGGAATAGAAAGCAAAGCTTCCTCCATCTTCGTTCCTGACTCACACTCTACAACTTCGGGATACCTGGGTTGGAGTTTCTAGAGGCTTCCATATACAGTCAAAATTACACGCAAGAAAGTCAGTTTCAAGCTATAAAATTGAATATCAACGCGTATCAGGACTACAAACATTTTGAACACATTATACAATATATAGAATGTATTGTTTCTATAGTGTGGCGTAATTTCAATGATATTTTATGCATTTTATACTGTATATTTCTCATAGTTCTTGCAACCTGGCCACAATAATTCATGGTCAGTGCGCGCGTGGGAGATCCAAACCAAAGCTAGCAGCATCAGTAGGGACATGGCTGATGCAAGCAAATGCAAAATGAGGAGTGCCCAGAGCCCATGAGCTGCGAATTGCTAGGTTGTTGCGACAAGCATCTGCGTGTGCAGTGCATAGCTACTCTTCACTATAGAATCAAACAAATCACCATCAACTAGTCCTGAAAAGCATGAATTCCTATAAAATCAAGTTTCTTTACATGTTTTTTCGTGTGTTTTTGAATTGTTTTTCCTTTGCTACTACATGTTACTACTGTAGTTCTTTCAAATCAGGACAGCCGCTTCACGTTCTTTTATGTCCGAGACTACTCTAAGCAACAATTCAACCCTATAGAATCAACATCTAAATTGGTCAGTCCTGGTACAAAAACAAGTCCCTATAGAATCACCAAAAACAAAAATCAGTTAGAGCGTTTTGATTCCAACTAGTGAGTCTTCATTTTTGATTCCAACTGGTGGAAATGTTCAGCATTGCTCTGATATCTCCGACGCCCTCCCAACGCCCTCCGACGCCCTGCCAAGACAGTGATCTGAAGCCAAGGCTCTTGGACACCCTTGCGAATTGGGGCTTCTTTCGAAATCGCCAAGCAAAACTTCCAGGTCCTGTCACTCCTCAGAAATGAAAAAAATAATGAATTTCTGCGCTATAGAGCAAAGATCTCACTTGATTGGTCCTCACATGTCCTCACGCCTCACACCAGAAAAGATTCCTATAAGATTGATTTCTGGAACCGCCAAACACTTGCAACAAATAAAGACTGAATAAGACTCGTGTGCCCTTTGCCTGTCTGTCAGTTTACAGTGTTGCTTCCGGGTACAATCTGTAGACTATAGAATGGAGACTTCCATTAATGGAACTTGGAAAACACATTCATTCCTGAAAAAAAATAAATATCTATACTTTGCAGCTCTGCCAGTGTGGGTTGGTGGAATGATGTTATCTGTTTCGGCACTATAGAATCAAGCTCTCACTTGATTGGTCCTCACATAAGAAAATAAATCCCTATAAAATTGTATTTCTCCAAATATTCAGTGACTTCTAGAACCCTCAGACTGAATATGACTGGTGTGCCCGGTGTCTGTCAGTCGGTATACACTGGTGCTTTCGGGTAAAATCTGTACACTATAGAATGGAGACTTACATTGAGGGATCTTGCTAAAATCAATCATCCCTATAAAACCAATATATGTCAAAATACGTCAAAAAACTATGGATAAGCAATCAAGCGCTCACGCTCGTTCACCTTCTCTGCTCTGCCAGTGCTTTGATAATAGCACTATAGAATCAAGATCTGACTTGATTGGTCCTCATACAGGAACAATTCCCTATAAAATAAATATATTGTCGACCTTTGCAGCCTAGACTCGGTTTCCAATAGCAGCAGTGATGGCTTGGACGATTGTTCTTTCCACGTGCTTTGCATACAGCGACTTAGCTCTGATGGAGTTCAGAAGCTTGAGAACAGGTATAAGAAAATGATCTGCTATGATTTGTTCATACCTTATGATGAGCAAAAGTTGACATTGAATAGTAACTGTAACTGGATGCCAACAAGAAACGGAAGACTCCTCTCCGTCCATCCCAACTTGCAGGCTCCATCTCCTCTACGCACATCCCAACGGCCTCAGCAAATCAGTTTAACACTTTGGTATGATGGTCAAGTGCAAATGTTAAAAGTGACTGCAGTCAACCAAAATTGAGTCTAGTCACGCATTGTGTAGGAAATCCTTCTGGAATCGGCATGGCGATTGGTCGACCAAAGGTCAGTAATTGGCAAGCGTTGATGCGCGTGATTCATATCCATACAAAGGCACTGTATACTATAAAATTGTATTTTTCAGAACACAAGGAGTTAAATAGCAAACATGGATCGCTATACATCTATATAATCAATCTTTCAACTACTACTTTGCTATAAATTCAAAGAATAGACAATAATACAGGAATATTCCCCCCTCTGTGGTATTGCAGGAATTGACTTTCTTAACTTTATAGGAAACTTATGGGCATATATGGGTATTACTTCATATTGCTTCTGAATATTTACAATTCTCTTTCATTGCTTGTCATTGTATTGAAGGCATGTTGCTGCAGTGTGGAGGCCCGGCGAGTGATCTTTCTTATAAAATCATTCAACAAAAGGCGCATCCTCTATCAGCAATTCATCGTCTATAGAATGCTAAGAATCAATTGTGAATCTTCCACAGCAGTCCAAACTGGATTCCTATAAAATGGGTTCCGTTCAGACAAGATTGTTGATGACCGTGAAAAAAAAATTATGTTGTGACCTCAGCTCTGAGCAGTTCTGTATTTTATAGTAATCCATGTGCGCAGACAGCTTACTATAAAAATCCTTCACAGGCATTCCATTTTATAGCGTCTTATTCCCAAGGGGATCCCAACACACTAAATCCAGGGATTCGAAGCAACCAAATTAGCTACTAGTAACAAGGGCATTACTACTATTAGCAAATATAGCTACTAGTAGCCTCTAGCTACTAGTAGTAATGCCCTTGTTACTAGTCAGTTTCGGTTCATGAAGCAAATCTAGACCACGATAGACAACAAGCCCACTTGCACCTAACAGGTTCAGGTTCATCATGGTTCATCACATGCAGTTGCCAAACACCGTCCCAAATTAGGCCAAAGCTGGCTTTGCAGTGCTTCCGGATCTCCTTACAAGAATATATTCACGAGAGTGATGGCTGGGTAAATGTCCTAACATGTTCAACCATTTTGTCTGCATTGAAACAAATAACGCTCCTCTCTTCTTCTCATATACTCCACGAAATTCGGTAGGTTTTGCACAACCTCAATGCAAAACATCTTGTGCTCGCGACTCAGACATACGCCAGAGTTGCGTGCATTGGGCTTGATGAGATAAACGCGTTGTGAACCTTGACAATATTGAAAATACCACTTGCTTATATGCACTCTTGGTGCAACTATGTCCTGAAATCGCGCGAGCCGCTGCAGTACATTATTGGAAAACTAAGAATTAAATGCTGCAGCCCACTAAGGCGAGAGGAAACAACACAATCAATTCTTTTCACAACAATTCTTTGACATCCTTCCAGACCAAATTCGTTGGTGGATGCTTTCTTGCCCCAAATATCCTTTTTAACTGTCACTCAAGTAACTAGTTACAGTATGTTACAATCACATCTCCAAGATGCCCCAAACGCCTACACAAAAGCTGACATCAAAAGCTCACCAAACGCACCACTTGTGGGCCTTCACTGGCGGGTAACACGCAGTTGACCGTACAACCATAGAGTGCCGCTGCGCAACAATGGCTTCTTCGACGATGAGACGTGACCTCAAAGGCTCACACTGGCTCCAATGTTGGAGGCCATCGCTATTAATTGCGATGGCCTCCAACCTAATAGCCATGCCTCCAACCTAATAGCGATGGCCTCCAACCTAATAGCGCTGGCCTCCAACCTAATAGCGATGGCCTGTAACCTATATGTGTCGTTCCCACATGGCCATGGATCAAAACCCACAGGACCTTGGTTGACCACCCAAAATGAACAGAATTAGATATGGTACCCGGAGGTCAACCTACCAGGATTTAAGGCCACATCTGTGCTTTTCTAGCTGCTACTTCTGCTGCTCCTACCCTATTCGTGCCGATGCCGTTGCTGCTGTCGCTCCCGGGGCTGTTGAGTAGATGTCGACAAAAAACGGCTGTACGTGCCATGAATGTTGTAAGCTCCCGGGCGACGCCGAATGTGCTACCATCCTTTTATTTTGGACGTTTGCCTCCCACTTTTCTGACTTGAGAAATATTGCTGTACGACTTCCTAGGCTTGGACATTCAATCTATCTCCTAAGACTGGTCACAGAAATCCAGCACCAAAACCTGTCTAATGAATTCAACCCGACATTAAAGCACCACCACCACCACCACCACCACCAACAACAACAACAACAACAACCTTTGCGTACGCTCACATGGGGCTCCCAGCGGTACATCTCCCCGCCGATCTTTGGTCCTCACCTCGGTGCAACAACAGCCAGTCTACAACAAAGTTCAAACGAACGGTCTTGCCTAAGCAGATGCATCCACTAGGTACATTAATTTATGGAGAAACGGTGAATCGGCAAACACATGGCGATAGCTGATAGCTTCGATGCAAGTATGTATATATATATATACACACAATTTGAGGTGTTAAGCTTGAAGCACACGATCTCATAAGTGCATCCAATACACAAAGTGCTACTTGTCTGGGCAGGCATTATTTAGTAACTATTCCATGACCGTCTACCTTTCGACATTTAGCCAAAGAGGTCTGCGATGAATGATTGGTGCTTCGGAACAAGACTTGGAAAATGTTAGCTGTCGTCATCTGGGGGTAGGGACATGTCATAAACCCCAACAATTGACATATGAAAGGCTGACTTCACTTGCCCATTAATTAGCGAACTCCCCATTTGTACTCTTTTGGCGACAAAATGACAAAATAAAACATAGAGTTTCGATTATCAGTGACCAGAGGGCCCCACTCGTCGATATGTAAAGTCCATGAGCTCTTGGAAGGCCTAGCTCGGCTCTTGAAATCCGCTTTCCCTGACAAAGAAACACGCTTGCTGGATCCTCATGGATCCTCTAGTTCTCTTGCTGACAAAAGTCTGCTCAGAAAGCCTCTGAAACAGTGTCCCCCAAAAGAATTTGGAGTCTGGTCCAGGAAGTGCCTTTAGAAAGGACATAGGACATTCACTTTTCCTTGTGTGGAATTGCGTACATATTTTGGAAACGATACAAACGGAAGTGACCATATATAAATTCCTTTCGTTGAATTGCTTTTAGAACGAGATGCAACCAGAAATGAAAAGGACACCCTTGTCCTCTCCAGTTTCCTTTTGAATTCCTCTGGTGCTCGACGCTGTGAAATCCGAAAGACATGAAGAGGACACCAAGGTTCAGTGATGAGTTTTGTTGCAAACTCAAGTATTGCATGTTGTTCTTCTGCAGCACTAAAAACATCATATATTTCAATTCCAGGATGCCCCTGGCCCCCAGGAAAATTGTTATTGTAATTCCCATATGGACCGTTTGATTCAAAGAACCAGCTCAGTCGCAGGAGCAAACATGAACCGGAAACAATAAGAAATCCAAATACAACGAACAAATCGATAGGAACATCAGTGGTGTATTTTATTGCAACGACCAAAACACAAAACAAATCATTAATAAATCCATGTCAGGGTATTAGTGGTCTACTCACTTGAAACATCTGTATAAATAAACAATCTCTTGAAGCAGCTTTAGTTGAGGTTGAGGGCTAAACCTAGAGCTTCGGGGTTACAGTAAACGAAAAACGATGTTCAAATATGTTCAATGATCATAACCAACTGGATATTTGTTCAATAGAGTGGCTTTGCGCACGACGAAAGAGCATGTATAGACGACACTCTGGAAGACATTGAATATTCTAGCAGCTCGCCAAACAGTTCAAACAAATGCAAGACATGTTTACTATTCCGCCTACAATCAATGAGCATGCAGCCACCGTGCCATCAATGTGGCTGAGTGTATGATACAGCCAAATGAAACCAAGACCCAAAGAAAGCTACCCGGGTCTCAAGCACACAACATGATGGACTCGTTCGGGTATTGACATCCATGTCTTAATAAGGGTGTGAGGGATGAAACACTGCATCACTAATAAATATTCAAAGGGAAGTGAAGCAAAAGAACAAGAAATGGGTTTAACAAAATCCCAGTGAGCGAGCAATGAAAGCAATCAAAGGAAACAGAGACTGGGAAGGGACAACAGCAGCAGGGTGGGCGACAAAAGGATCAGTCAGTCCCCCCCGCAGAGCTAACCAAAACACAAAGCGAACAAAAGAGAACGAAAGGATAGAAATGTTGGACACCGCAACATTTGGGCCCTATCATCCACCAGAGGACAATGAAAGGATTCTTGCAACACATATATAACCAAAAAGACTTAGGCGAAGGCATGGAATAGGTGTAGGTGACCTTTAAACAATTCTATCGTGGTAGGAGCAGCGCATTGGCAAACGTAGCGCAGATTTTGTGACGCCTGAAGGGGTTGGGAGGAGGGCGCAGTGCCTCCCTCCCAGAGCAAACAAAAAATCAAAAGCCACCAGGCTCAGAAGGCACCACAAAATAGATCATCATCGAAAACTACACACCCCATTGCCTGATCAATGAAGCGCACCCAGAAAGAGACAAAAGGACCGAGGCAACCGGCTACCTTTATTGATTTGCAGGGGTGGCGCAAAATTCGCTACTAGGAACAAGAAGCTACTAGGGGCTCCTGGCATCGCTACTAGGAGCAAGGACGCTACTAGGGGCTCCTGGCCTTACTACCAGGAACAAGAAGGTACTAGGAGCAAAGGGCATCGCAAACCTCGGGTTTTTGGACCAATGGACCACGAAGCCAGTGGACCAGGAAAAGGACCGGGGGACCAGAGGACTAGGGGGCCAAAGGACCAGGGGTCCAATGGATTAGGGGACCTACTCAGGATCATGTTTTCCCAATGTTGTTCTTTCTATCCGTTCATTTTCTTGGTTCTAAATCCTTAATGAGGGTCCTGGTTGATAGTGAATATGATGCAACGCAATTGAATAAAGCAACAATCAATTGCAAAAACGAAGGAAAGACCTGTGATGCGCCTAAAAAAAGGGTCCTTACTCTTATCTTCCCTTTTTTCATCTCTTGTGTCATAGAATTTGGATGGCTCGAGGCCTCACCAGGCCTGCTAGCCCCCGCCAGGACCGGAACAGGGGGAGAGGCCAACACATATATAGAACTTGAGTGACTTCTGTTTGGGAGCAAACACATGGTCGTTTTCTACCAGAACTGACATCAAATGGAAGCGCTGGCCTCCTTCAACCTTTGATCTTTGAGCTCCTCTCGCTTCACTGTGTAGCCTGGTAGACGCATCAAGCACCGCACTAGACTTCTGATTATCTCTGAAAAATATCATGCAAGTAGAATTATATACTTGCGTATGGAAACGACTGCAAAATCAAAAGAGCAAATCACATCCATCATTCAAACGGCTGTCGTACGTCATATATAAATACGTAATAGTTAAATATATATATATATATATATGTTCATGTAATTATGTGACTTTCATGGCCAATCGTAGTGTTCAACTGTTCAACCATGCAACTGTACGATCAACTTAATTTACATAGCCATCTAATCCATGCACATTGATACCTGTTTGATAAGCGTCCTGTCTTCATTTGGAATCCCGACTTTGTGAGATTTTGCTGAGCACCTGCTCATCTTCAAAGTACCTGCAAGGCAAAAACACACGTTCCACACCCAAAACTATTGCACAAATCCCGCATGTGCTTCAACCCACGTGAGCTGCAATAGCTATAGTTGCAGGAAAACAGGGATCTTCGTTAAACAGGGCAAAACCGCCCTAAAAAACGCAACACTACACTCCAATTTCCATGCATATATGTGTATATGCATACATACAAATATGTGGTCTGCTTAGGCAAATGGCAAAAGTAGCCTAGTGTTGACTCCACAAACTACACAAACCTCAGAAATTATCACCCTAATTAATTCTCTGTCTGTTTGACTCCAGGAGAGGCTACAAACTATAGATATATGTATACAATACTTATATATACATACACATCTTCTGCCCCTCCGATGGGGTGCGGTGGCAGCGACAGCAATTCTTTGTAGACCTGGCACGTCAGGCTTCCGGCCGCAACAGGTTGGTTTGTCGCATTCGCCCAAAAGGTAGAGGCAATCTTCAGGCGCAGGCCTGACCTGGACTCTAGTGAAAGTTATGTGAGAACATTATCATTTTTCAACTGCCTGAGGCAAACTATTGAGATGCAGCCAGTGTAGTGTATTGGTTGCGTTATCATAGCTCGTGTCTCTGCCAGCTCTCATGCTGAATAAACAGAAGAAAACACTGCAGGCCTGGATTGCAGTCTGAAAGCCGGCTTCCTGTCGGATGGTTGGCATGAAATTTACTGATGCTTCAATGAACCGATTAATTTGAAAGCAAGTTGAAAGGCTGGAGACCTCAGCCTCCATCATAGGAGAAGGTTTATCATTTATTTATGAGTCACTTAGAAAGAGCTGCATGTATATACACCCAATCGTGAAAATGCTGTTCCTGATCTGAAGCTCGAGCTGCAGCCCCGTTTTCCCTCCCCATCTTCTGGTTGGAGGGTCACTCCACTCAGGAGTGGTGCAATGCGGATAGCGGAGCATCCATTCCTGACTTTGCAATTCTCTTCGAGGTGAAGTCTACTTGGCAAAAACATGCAAAGTCTAAATATAAAATGACCGCAACTTGCTGGTATCAACCATCCAAACGTAGACACCGCTACTGCCTCTTGCTTCCAGGCTGCGTACAACTGGGAGCTGCTCATGTGAGCCTTATTCATCTCTGTGTGCACCAGTTCGCATAGATCCACTCTTAAGGGTGCTCGTACCTGTTGCATCTCCGCATACAATCGCTTTTCGATCTCCAACGAGCAGGTCTGGTCCTCAAACAACGTTCATTCAAGCCACCAAACGTGACTCCTACAAAGCAACAAAACGGTCGGCAACGGTCCTTCTTCGAATGCACCGCATAAACCGGGGTGTTCCTCAAAGCCTGGTGATGCAAAATGCAAAACACATTTCAACCACTGACGTACACGTGCGGGCACAAAGATCCAACAAATCAACTTAGAATTTCTCAATTTAAAACACAATCGGTCCAAGTCCAAGGGCGAGTGTAAGAAATGAGCGAATGATTGGCAGAACAACATTGGGTGAACAATTCTTGACCACTTTGCACCCTGTGGCCTCTGCAATTTGGCTTCGCAAGTATGCTTTGTGGTAGGCTGCCACTGGCGCGATCGCTGCGAAGAGCTTGGGCTTCTGCATCGTCAGCTCCCAACAGCCCATGCCTGAATAGAAATGAAACCATCAGGGCTTTAGAGAGGACTTGGTGAACAGATTTTGTTGCACTAGACCTGGTGACCGTAAAAGAATCTGCTTTGATGATTTTTGTTATTTTAGTTGCAGTACCAAGGGTGTGCGTATGCAGCAAACGCCCAGCATTTGTGGTAAATACTGTAGACTATAGATGTACATAGCCATAGCACTATTTTTTCTCGCTGCCTCCCATGGAAACGCCGGTCAAGTAGACCTTGCTGGAATCCACATAGGGCATTTTGCATAGCTCCTCTGCTCTCATGCAAAGCACGACAACAGGGATTTTACTCGAACATATCATGGTGCCAAGGTGTTGATCTCAGTTGAACGCGTGCAAAACCATGAAAACTTCCCGACTTAACGTGCTCTTTTCCGTTCAACGTAGATTATAATATTTGCTGTATTTTGAAGACCACAAAGTGGACACAAATTCTTGGATCTCACGGTGGCCCTTGCAACAGGGAGCTGGTGCATGCTGGTGCTCCTGAACCAGCTCCAAGATCCAAGAGTCCGGTGAGCTTTTCCAACCCCAACGACCTTGGAGAAACTCTAAATTGAGAACCATCCAAGTTCACTTGAAGTATAGGATTCATGATTCATCTGATCTATGATATCCGACATGATTGGAAGGCTGCTTCTTGAAGTAGTTCAACTTGCAAAGTCGATCATGAAGAGATATGACATACAAAGTCGAACACATCTTATATGAAATGCATTGAAATGCTGCATAGAAGGATGGCAACTTCAAAAAAAAACATACAAAAACATGGACAAAGGGCAGGTTGGTGACACGATGATGAAGTGCTCAGCCGCATACCGTGCTCCTGCAACATCACACAACATCTATGATTGCTATTGGCCACAACTGTCAACACAAAATGACATTCAATAAATTTCAAGAAGCTCTTCACAGCATGATCGTCCTTCAACACGCATCTCACGTTTGCAGAATGAGAAGAAAGTACCACCAGCAGAGCCGTGCAAATATATCAGCAAGGGCCACTTGGCCACCTGCAACTCCAAGAAAGAAACTGCCGTTCAAGCCAGATTTGACCCGAAGGAGGCAAGTCTTGTGTGAAATCTCTTCAGCATTTGGGGTTTAGATGGAACGAAACACGGATGTACAAGAGGGATGGAACAAAATGGAAGGCAAGCTCCCCTTATGCTGGCCTGATTAGAGTCCTTTTTTCATCTCTTTACATCACAAATGTCCCGAGCAATCGGTGCCTGGCCCATCTGCAGCTTGGCCTCTACCATCTGGAACTTGAAAGGAAAATGCACAAAGAACTCCTCCTCTTCATGCACAGACTCACTGAGTCTGCCTAAAATCATCGTTCTATAGACTCAGCTTTTTGGACCCAAACCACTTGGTTTCCCAAACTGTGACAAATCAGAATTGCAGGCCTTATCTCTTGCATCCTCTTGCAATGTCGGGGAATGCGATAAGTCTCACTGGAGAAATTTGAGCACAATTCAGGATCGAATCGACGAAGGATTCAGGAACGAATCAACTAAGACTAAGGATTGGGGTGCAACTTTTGTTGGCCAAAACCTTCCGTGAACGAAGAACACACAAGAGGAGATCCTAGCAAGATTCGTTTGTGCGTTAAAATTCACAAGGAATAAATACATATCAGATCATATCACTTTCAATTTTCAACCAGCAACCTAAACAATGATAAAAGAGATTTGGCATCTCAACATTTGGACCTCGCATGTCCTGGACCATGTCGTTCTTGACAAAGACCACTCGGTGCTCAGCAAAAGACGAAGAGGCACAATTTCGAATTGCGGCATCCAGGCCGTCGAAGCGCGACACGCAGATCTGCATTGGCGACAGTTGCATGCAACCGCGTGACCACAAGGATGAGTCGTCTACCTGAATGAAGCACCAGTGCAAGGAACGAGATGTTGAACACTGAACAGTGGACATGAAACACGACTTCATGATGAGTATTCAGAATTAAGATTCATTTTGTTGGCTCAACTTGTTGATCTTCAGGAATTCAAGAGGTATCTCCAAAGGTCCCTGCCTCTGCTAAAGGGACTTTTCGCCTTGGAGTTTTATAGCTACTCGTTGGTTGGACATGATGACTGTTACCAGCAGTAGCAAAAGTACAATTTCTGTTGCAATATCAACACTTTTAGGTACATCGTCATGAAGCGCATGAAAGAGGGTACTCTCCAGTGTCCATCCTTGGGACCTCCACTGCAGTGAGTACCAAGTTCAATCCTTATATCTACTGTAACAACATATAATACAAGTTAATACAACATACATTCCGGATTATTCCGGTTACATACCCGTCCAATAACTCCTTTCCACCAACACCTCCCAGTCATCGATGTCGAGGCTCTTCATAGACAATTTCGTGGGTCCTTTCATCTTTCAGCGTTCTTCGCATGATTCCTTGACGCCACACTGGCTCAAGACTGTGCAAATTTACTTCTGCCCAAGCTATGATGCCGTCAGACTCATGATTCATGATACTGTACGTTAAATCATTTTACTGTAATCCATGGAGTCCAGGGAGTGCTAGGGAGATCGATTTTGAAGCGTTGCAACTCCTTCACAACACGTGGGGAACCAGTCCCAAAGACCGAGTCCAAAGACCATTCATAGCAAGCCCCAGCATAAACCACAACTTGGAATTTGAGGCAAGAATAATCTTCATATTTTAGTTATGTTCAGCTTGACAGCACATTACATATTGCTGGTAGGTTTCCATGCATAAACCCGCTCGTAGAGCTGGGATCCTCCCACTTCACAGCTCGTCCTTTTGAGATTGGTAGGATCTCATCTTGCGACACTACCTTAGGTGGTCTCCATGTCCAAAAAAACCGGCTGCTTTGTCTTGTCTCAGACTCCTCTGCACCACGCTACAGTCCGCCACATCACAATCACTGTACCATTTCACATTGCACCACATCAAATATAATATAATATAATCATGTGTCACTTTAACCATTACCTCGCAAATGACATTCCATTGTTCTACGCAGTTGCACGTTTGACCTTCCACCTACCGGCTGTGCCACCAAGGAACAACTTCAGTGGAATAGTCGGCGATCCACACCAAAGCTTGCTGCTGACCGCAGAAGAGAATTATGACCCCTCAGTTTCACGTGACTCATCCGATTCTCCACCAAAACTGACCCGTGGCTATTGATGCATACAGCTCAACACGCACTCACTTGTTACTAGGAACCACAGGAAAGAGAAGCTAGTGTGACGACTGCACACAATCACTGAATGGATCTTATTTTACTGAAAAACAAAAAAAAACTGATTTTGGGGGCCCATGTTTCCAACCGACTCAAATGTCTGGACTGTCCTGGGCTGCCATCATACCACTGATTGCCCAAGCAGGAGCGCAGCTCGATCCACATTCCAACCTGTTTGCTGCACTTCGCCACCCATCTTTGATCACATCACATTCCACTCCACACCAAATTACACGACGGTTAAAAAACCCTGGCTGGATCTTGCGGGTTGCTCAACGATTGCTTATACGTGTGTGGTATGTCATGTATATGTACATCCACTTGTATCGAGCTGTCAGCCTTCAACTCCTTCTTCCGATCTTTGAAGCCTGGGAGAACCCACGCACACTCACTTGGTTGACATTGTCACGGCAAGCAACTGACTCTCTACCACGTGCAATCCCAAAAAACTGAAACACAAGCAGGGAAAGAAAATAGGACTTTTGGGTTTGATCCAAGAAGCTAGTGCAAGGAAGCTCAGTGACAATCTGACCAGTCTTCAAATCTTCATAGGAAAGACCATTTGGACCTCTCCAGGCACGGTAGTGTAGTTGGCAATCATCCAGCACAGCTTGGCTGCCACAAATGGGAATGCCTCTTGGGTCATCGCAAGTCGGAAGCTTTGTGATGAACATGTGCGGAAGCTTTGGGGTGTGAATGGAGTTCATCGATGCAGCTGAATGGAGTTTGTCACTTAGTACAAGAGATTCACATGAAGGCAGAATTGATTGAAGGGATTCGGATACAGCGGCGGCTACAGGTTGGCAGGCTGCTTTCGGCACCAGGAACCTATTCTACGAACTGCACAAGCTGATTCTACGGCAAGTCAGATTCGATTTGCCAATTTGCCTAGCATGGAACAGAAACACCAAACATTGTGAACAATCCCTTTTGATTGCGCCTGCGTGAAAGGCACGGCACAAGGGAGCACCACGGGTTGAAGCTCTGGTGAAGTCGACAAAAACACAATCCTCTCGGGGTAGCCGATTCCTCTTGATCTGGGGCACAATGATCGGAGAATCAGGTGGCTCATGATGGATGTAGGTTTCGTATTCCTCACAGGTCACAGTCACAACGCAAACTCAGATGCACTACTTGTAGGTCCAATCCAAGTGGTCCCTCATGGTTCATCTTTCAACCCTACAAATCACAAGGTGTCCAACCCCTCCCAGAAATGTTCACACTGAATGCTTTGTCCAACATGGATGTCTTGTCCATATGGTTCCCTCGAGCTGCTTCCAAGCTTCCTCCTCCCAGTCTTTTTCGATGTCTTCGGCCATCCATCACAACGCTCTTGCAAAAATGGGCATCTGGTAATTGAATTTCAGCAAAGCTTGGTAAACTGCCGAGTCCATACTCTTGACTCATGGTCTAGCTTCTTAATGCTTGCAGAAAAGAACAAGCTTTGCGTGTGAAAGATGTGAAAGTGAGTCGCATCCTTCAACGCTTGACTGTGCACCCGTCAATGAAGAGGTACATAGCTAGCTGCGAACGTGAAATAGGTCTGAAGCAAAAGATCCAGAGGCATTCTGATCCTCACTAAGCCACTAAGCCAAGGTGCTGTGTCAGGAATCCAACCGCTTGCAACGTTGAGTGGTCATGAAAGGAACAACTGTACTCCGAAGCTGGCAGTCCTTGCGGCCCCAATCTAGAAGATCCGGATCCTGATCGAGCTCTTGCATTGCGCTAGGCCGCTAGGTGCCGTTAGACCTTGTGACTTCCTGGGTTTCATGGTGTGTGCAAGACACGCATACACACAGCCATTAGCCGAGCACCTGCATAAATTGCAGGCTATAGGCTATCTCCACAGTCCCAAGATTCTGGGCACATCTGAGTTACAAAGAGTAGGTCTATTTAGTGAAGGGATTGAGCACTTCAGTTGCAAAGCAAGGCAACCTCCAATAAGAAGCAATGAGGGCTAACCCGTGCTGTGCTGCCTGCCTCAATAAACTCTTTGAGTCTTTCGTGCAAAGTCTCCTGCCAAGTAGAAATGGAAACTGAGAATGTTCAAATGACCACAGTGAAAGGTCTTTGAGGAGTTGTACTTGTAGTTCTCGGAAAACAACTGGGCCAAACACATACAACTGACTCTTGCACCACTGCCAGGCATCACATAATATCATCTGCGCATTCACTTGTGCAAACACAACATAAATACGCCTAAAAAAACCTGATGACATCATACTGGCAAACCAGTCTTAAGCTCAAATCTCGATGAATTTGAAACAAATTTTGTGTCGAGGAGTCAAGCAACCACACAAATTACCACTCATCCCCAGACGCAAACGGTATGTTTATTTATGTAATATGGTCTCCTCTTTCCGCTGCTGAGAGGCCTGGCTTGCAAACGAGCAACATGGCTGAAGGTGAAACAAGCTGGCTCTCCGAAGTTTGGCTCCACAGAATGTATCTCCAAATGCACATAAATAAATGAATATAATATATATATATGTACCGGAGAAAGGAGGGGAGGAAAGCCAGCCTCCGTAAGAAGATGTCAATATGGTCATGGGTGAACGCGAGAGTGCATAAGGCGGGGCCGATATGAGAGGCCTTCAGGCACAGGTGGGGGGTGGGGCGCCCTTTTTCATTTGGATGAAGGAGCGTTTTGAAGAGAACAAGGGGCACCCCGAAGTCATTGCTTGTCTGCGGTTTGTTTCTCGATGTTTCTC